TGAAACGAACGAATGTTGACAATTGACTGTTATAATAAGTTCAATGATCGGAAATTATAGATGGAAGCGAAACAGCACTCAGTTATTCACGATGGTATAATTTCTCCAACTTTAATTAAGTTTGTGTTGAGAATCTAAAGAGACTATATTGATCGCCCTATGCTAGTCGGCAATAATAAAACCCGATCGGGCTATTAATTAATGACTTACGCCTTTCGGACAACAGTGATTTGCCGTTGTAACAATAACTACCTTTTATTTTTACAAATTACGATTTAAATGTGCTCATATTCAAATTGAGAAGTTCAAAAATTTGTTTATCTGCCAGTTTGCACTATTTGTCATACAATGTTTACTTTATTACGCGAATGTCGTTTCAAGGAGACGAAGTATTCGTAAGAAATCAGTCTTAAATACGGCGAATCACGGAAGTACGGAAAAGTTTCATGTGAACGTTGGAATATCAAGTCAGGACGATGTATACAGGTCGTTATTCATTACGGCAATGGAATTTCCTTACTTCCGGAGGAAGCCGGGAGCAGACGCGAAGGAGTTTACAACTTCCTTGATTCCTTGGATATTCTTCTCTTTTAAGAGGAACGTACAGCTTCTTTTACATAAGAAAAATCTGAATTAAATGAAAAAAAAAACTTTCTAAGAAGTTCGACTCAACTTAAAGTTGAGCATAATTAGAAAGAGGTAATACAAAAAATATTTTAATTTAGTAAGAGTATATTCACCGGGAAGTGAGAAAATATCGTTAATTTAAATCATACGTAATTAAAAAATTCTTTCAACTCGAATGTGAGTTGAATAATAAAGCAATTAAGCATTTTTATTGGATTCGCTTTGTCTCGCTCTATCTGTGCTTTTCTCTTCTTCACTGAACGTGTCGTTTTATATCTTTTTCTGGGCAAATTCAAGAAAAGTCGAGATTTGGACTGTATTCTATTAAGAATTGATTCGGTTTGATTTATTCATCGGTGTCCGGTCATTCGGTTCCACCAGCTTATTTATACATTTATTTTTTTGTCGAGCCGCTGTCAATAGATTTAAAAGATACTTTAAGTTCATTTTAGAATATGTATCAATATAACATAATTAATGTAAAGAATGACTAGTTTTTCACTAAATACCATAAAAGAATTATTTAAACCCCTAACCGTGCAGTTGTACCATGTAACTACAGAAAGGACAGACTAAAAGAAATATAAAAAAGCTTGCCAAATTTGACCGAAATGTTCACAGGCAATAACCTTATAGGCACTTATAATTTTATTATAGTATATTATCAGGGTGCCCATACTGTCGGATTAAATGTTATACTATTAAGGTAATAATAATAAACGTGACTTTTCGTCCATTTTTATCTGTTGAATGATACTAGATCTCAGGAAAACGGTGGTTGGTGTATGTATTCCCGGGCACATGGTCTGGTGGTAACACTAAAATGCAAAAGAGGCCCTCTGACACTAAAAATGTAATAAAAATTATTGATAAAAGAAGGTGGCAATGTCTGTGGCGGAGAAGCTCTCACGTATCGATAAGTGGCTCTCGGAGGATCTGACTCATAAAAGAAGGGTCGTCCTCACCCGATTACAGATAGGCCATGCATGGTTAACGTACTTCTGAGCCAAAGCCCACGTATGTGTCCGACATATAGGGAAAAGTTGCACGATGTGTCCACTTAATTAAGTGATTGAAAATCACTCACTTAACAGTGCAATTTTCTAGCTCGATGTAGAGAACGTGCTGGAATTCCACCCGGTATGAGAATTGAGCTTGTGCACGGCAGTGAGTGAGTATCGTATTCTCCTGTTCCTAGTTTGAGATTAAACAGGACAGTTTTATCGTATATAGTACTTTATATTACAGAAATTTCGTCTTGTGTTTCTTAGTGTATAATCAGAATGAATGTATTTATTACCGTAATGCGTAGTTTAACCAGGGGTTAACATCCTGTCCTTAAGCGTCATCCACCCTCAGCAAGGTTCCATGGTCGAATATCAAATACTACACCACAAAAACCGAGTGAAGGATATTTAAATTAAAAAATGTATTCAAGAACGAGTGAGAGTGTGATTGGAAAGCTGATTGTGTCAGGTACTGGATGCTCTAGCTTTTCATAGTCTCTGGAGCTATATGTCTGGACGGATAAGACGGGGGTTGGCAATTCTCGAGGTATGTTAATAATTTATTGTAAATTACAGAAGCTGTGATCATACACAGGGTGAGTCATTTTTTGACGCACCATTGGAAAATCAACTGGGTACGTTTAAATCTGACTCGAGGCTTATTTCCTTTGATTAATACGTTAATAAAAAAAAGTGAGTCAATTTTCGGTGCACCATAGGAAAATCAATGTTGGTGCGTCTAATTATGACTCGGCACATTTTATTTTGTTAGTCTCCTACCAAAAAATAGGCGAATCACTTTTCGACACACCATTCGTTAAAAATTAGTTTTAGTAGGTTGGAAGGAAAATAAACAAAACGATATTATTAAAACATTCAAACACAATGTAATAATTTTAAAAAAATTCTTCACAAATTAATTTGATTAAGGTTTAAGACTATTTTTTTTCGTCCAATCATCGTTTTACGATAGACTAGGCTATTGTGTTGCAGCAAATTGAGGTCTGTTCGAACAATTATTATAATGATTTTGAACATTTTTGGTTTTCTAACAAAGGAGAATGTTACATTTATTTAATTTTTGTACTTTACCAGAAAAAAGGAGATTGTTACATTTATTTAATTTTTTACTTTACCAGAAAAAAAGGAGATTGTTACATTTATTTACTTTTTTTACTTTGCCAGAAAAAAATACTCTTAAACCTTAATCAAATTAATTTGTGAAGAATTTTTTTTTAATTTTTACATTATGTTTGAATAATGTTTTAATAATATTCGTTTTGTTTATTTTCCTTTTAACCTACTAAAACTAATTTGTAGCGAATGGTGCGTCGAAAAGTGACTTGCCTATTTTTTGGTGGTTTTTTGGACTAACAAAATAAAATGTGCCGAGTCATAATTAGACGCACCAACGTTGATTTTCCAATGGTGCACCGAAAATTGATTCACTTTCTTTTATTAATGTATTAATCAAAGGAAATAAGCCTCGAGCCAGATTTAAACGCACCCACGTTGATTTTCCAATGGTGCGTCAAAAAATGACTCACCCTGTATATGTATGAGCATACATGTGCACCTTATATAAATCCGTAACGACTCACATATGGCATTTTATATATTATTATTTCTTATGTATGAATGATGTTTCACTGGGAAACTCCTCATTCTGTTTAAACATGTAGACTTGGACTAAATTCATTATTTAACAACGAAAAATTAATTTCTTGTTAAGGTGGATTTAATTTTACTTTCTGAAGATTTGCGCAATTTGTGGATCATGTAAATAAAGTAATTACGAAAGGAAGAGTAGGTTTCTGTCTCGATGCTAAACCCGCACGACAGATATGTCGTCCAATACTGTATACTTTGAACGCCTACCTCGATCGCCGGTGTTTGAAAATAAATATATCATCACAATAACTTGCCTCATCCTTTCTGATTCTTTTGTGCACACTTCGTTTGTAAGCAACTAAAATGTGCTGAGTAAGCCAAAGCTTTACGTCAAAATACTTCTAAACAACTCCAGTCACAAAACATCTTGACTTAACTCAACATTTGGGCTGCTAAACCAAAACGGTTTAAGTGGCTCAAAACAAATTTTATTGGGGAGGGGGAGTAAAACATGACAACATAATAAAGAAATAACTTTTTTTTGTACAATTGTATTTAAAGATTGAAACTTCACAGACAAATGCACAAAACTGATACGTTTCTGGGTTAGAAAAAATATTTGTATAAGCGTTAAACTATTTTTAATTTACAAAAAATGCAAAATGCTCGAAAGTTGGACTTAACAAATCAACCTCAGGAAACGTTAATAAAACTTCCTTTTTTCCTTTGGCATATGGCATTATGGTTGTAATGCCTCTTTTCTTTTCATTCTATAAAGGAATGATTTTTTTCGCTTTTCTACAATAAAATCACGAAAATCTTACTACGACTTAATTTTCTTTAGGGCAGGAACTTGAGACCATTGCGTCAACGAGGAATAACATTTATTTACATCAATGGCACCAAAGTTTTTTTCTGTAACCTGGGCTATCCTGTCGATAAATTGTAAGATTACAAAGCCCATCATATATTTTTTTATCTAAAAATAATTCCTCCTTTTCGTCAACAACATTATTGTGCCTAGAGGGACGATTAAATAGGAATCTAGAAAAACCGTCCAGACGTACATAATGATCAAGTAACGACTAGATTTAATGCCTGCACCCACATGGAATTGGCAATAAGTCTTTATTCAGCCCTTTCAATTCAAAGTCCTACGTAGTAAATACCACGTTTTATTTATTTAAAGCATCACATTTTCCAAACCGTTCTAAACACTAAATATCTATTGTGTCCTAGACCTTGGCAAATTCTCTATTCCTTAAATTAGTTGCCACATTAACTCCACACTCAAATCTATTAATACAGAATAAGGTACTGTGGTGACCAAATGGTTAGGACGTCCGCCTTGTATTTCCCATGCTAGTGTTCGAACCCCTGCAAGCGATATGGCTTTTTAATTGATGAAGGACTGTATTATGTATTGGAAATTTGGTTGTCCCTCCGTCCGGGTAGTTGGACGTTAGCCCTCGTGTTGCTTTTCCCTTCTTACGACTGTACGACCCTTCCACCCAGTATCTGTCTAACGATCGTACTGTCAACTGGTCGACTGTCGTTCAAGTAATTGACCCAATGTAACGTCTTATAGTATATTCGCTTATCATATATTTTGTATAACGTTACCGATATTACAATAAAAAGAGACAAGGTCGATATCTTAGCTATGATTTAGTAAATCCACCTCATTTTTCCTTTAGTGTTTGTTTAAGATTTCTTGTATTGGAAGCTATTGTATAACTACGTTGTATGTTTCAGTTTCGACGCAGCTGAGCAGCCTCGTCGGCAGCACCGGACCGACCGTCATGCCCAAGCTGTGCCCCGTTTCGCATTTTCAGTGTTCAAACAAAAGGTGTATTCCTCTGAACAAGTTCTGCGACGGGGTCAACAATTGCGGCGACTATTCAGACGAGCCGAAACACTGCACACGTAAGTACCCCCAGGGTGAATCTTCCATTTTCGGGCTGTTCCCACGTAAAACACGGATTTCACGGCTGGATCGACATGGGGGTTGAGTTCAATTTCGGCGAACAAAGCCGAAACGCCTCCAGGCATCCGGCAAAATATTGTTTGACAATAAAAGATCATTCCTCGCGTTATTGACGTTTAAGAGATTAAAGCAATCCCGTTTCAGAGTTGCAACCCTTGCCTAATCCAGATTCACTCCTCCTCTCTTAATGTGTTTGATAGCTCCTGTGCCATGACAGTGTATACAGAACGAGGAATGGGATTTTAACTGAAAGATAATAACCGATGCCCTGGGATTCCGGCCGCGTCACTTTTCCATTAATCTGTACTAATTATCCCTACTAACGAATAAAACGAGTGTAAAAAAAATATAATGCAATAATACCAGATTAGAAGCCCATTAACGTGTAATTGTTTTTGTGAAAAGGATTTGCCCAATGTTGTCTGAAATTGTTAATTATAATTTGTATAAGATTTGTTACCATCAGCTTTAGATAACTGATTTATATTTCATAAACTGTACCAGTCAAGTTTCATATTTTTACTCTGAAATTATATATTAAGAGATGTCAAAAGTGAACGGGAACGGATTCGCTTTTTGGCAATAGTTCAGGGGCGAATCAATGGTTAAAAAGGCGAACCACGCTTTCCACCGCAGTTTTTTCAGGCGGGAATAGCCGACGGCCGTAAAAGGTTTTACGGCCCACTTTTTGGCCATTTAATGACCGGAATCTGGGTTATTTCTGTCGTGTTTACGTTTTTCCAGGCATTTCAACCGTTCGGAGTAGCGATAAACCAGGAGCTTCCGACTCGCGTGTAACAGGATGAGAGTCCTCTGATTAAAAAGGTTCTGCTTCTCCGGCAAATTACTGTCTCTCAACCTAGGAGCGTTAGGTCAAATTGACACTAATCCGAGAGACAAATTTCAAAATACGGAGAAGAAAAGACAAATCCCAACAAGCTCAAGCTAATCCACATCTCGACTACCTAGTAGTAAAATCTTAACTATCCGACTATTTTCTTAGTTCACTATAGTATGCTCAATGAAGAAGTTTCAACCCAGACCAGGCAATTGATCATCATCGGCGATGGACGGTTATCTCACCATCCGAACAACAGTCAACGGTTCCATTCCCCCCCCCCAATCCGGTCTGCGCGCGTTCGAACTCTAGCTAAAGTCATATTACATAGAAAACTTTTTACAAATGCATGCTTACCTTCCCCTAAACCCTCTATTCTTTGTACGAAAATGTTATCGTTTTGACGGTTCTTTAAAATGATCGGAGCGAGAAAACTTTAAAGCAGTTTCCTTGGTCTCATTTTCTACAATATTTTAGCCGGAATAGTTTTACCAATTTCGGACCAACGATTGAGCACCAGGCGATGACACGGTTATCCTCGGTGCCCATCGGAACAAGAGTCCAGTGTCCCATTACCTCCAAATGTATATGAAAAATATAAAAATCTAGTGTAAAACATGACTAATAAGAATTCATGAAAATATATGCAGCCACTTGACCTTTACTTTAAAAAGATAAACCTGTACCTCTTCTGATACCCTCACCCACGCAGATCCGCCTCCTCGGATTTGATCTGGACAGCAAACTCACTGAAATAGAAAAAAACTGATAAAATTAGAACTGAACATAATATTACTTCCATATGACTCCACGAATAAAAGTTAATATACGATAAAAAACAAACGTACTATCATTCAAAAGACCATTGTCAGACCCATCGGGACTCAATACGCCAGTGCTCTAACCACTTGATTTATTACGACTTAAACCAAAAAAGTTAGATAAAAAGATTAATTAATTGGAATGATTAATTTGGTCAATTATGACCACTAAGCAAATATGGTTTAATTTATTAATTAAAAGAAGTAATTACTTTACGAACAGCTACCCTTGACCAATTCATACGTCGCTGAGAATCGAATCCTGAACGACATTTGAAAATATGGCAAAAAGAGGTAAAATTCGAACGGTTGTAGGTAGAGATGAGGAGTTGGTGTCCGAGGGGATCGAAGTCACGATAGCTCAAGTGTTTAGAAAGCATTGAGCCGACGGTCGCGGGTTCGAATCCCGCGCATGGCACTAATATTTAACCTCAGCCAGAAACCTCAGCTAAAAAATAATTTCTTGGAATAAATGGATTAATTTACTTTGTAATTTTTACTACACTTGGTCGTGACATTAATTTTTTATCTTAATTTACATTATATTTTTTACAAAATATTAATTTTTTACTAGCACGTAGAAAAGTGTATTGGTGATGATGGAAAGACAGTGCATGAGAGTTCAAGAGTGCCCCGATGGTCTGACAATGGTCTTTTAAATGATGGTACGTTTGCTTTCTATCGTCTGTTAACTTTTTACTCCTGGCCTCAGAAGGAAGTAATATTACGTTTACTTCTAATTTTATCAGTTTTTTTTCGATTTCATTGAGTTTGCTGTCCAGATAAAATCCAAAGAGGAGGAGCTGCGTGGGTGAGGGTATCAGAAGAATTACAGGTTTATCTTTTTAACGTAAACGTTAATTGGCTGCATATATTTTCATGAATTCTTATTAGCTATGTTTTCCACTAGATTTGTACATTTTTCATAATGTTTTGAGGTAATGGGACACTGGACTCTAGTTCGGATGGGTACTGAGGATAACCGTGAAATCGGCTGGTGCTCAATCTTTGGTCCGAAATTGATAAAACTGTTCCGGAGAATTATTGTAGAAAATGAGACCAAGCTCGTGGCACTAATATTTTACCTCAGCCAGAAACCTTAGATAAAAAGAATAATTGGATTAAAAAAAGAGATTCCTTACTTTCGCTGCAAGCTTTCTCGCTTTCAAAAATAAAAAAACTGGTGGGCTAGTTAAAAATAACAAAAAATAAAGGAGTATTTATAACGTAATTCTTGTCATAAAGGAGAGCTTAACCAAGACCCATTGGGTGTCGTGGAAGATAGGTGTTTTTATGTGTTTATGCCGAGATTCGAACCGAGAACCGAAAGCGTAGCTGCCATGGCGGTCGCCTTTAATCAAACACTGTTAATATTATACGCTAGATCAATAAACGTTACAATTTAACACTTACAAAACTATGATCAAATTCATCTGAACTTACAGATCCAAACTCTGGACAACTACCAATTTATCTAACCGAAATCCAACCATTTTAGTCCAAAATGCTTTCATCTCTGCTCAGTTCTAAGTCTTTAATCAAACACTACATAAAGACATTGATCTTAATTTTGTAAAACAAAGAAAAAATTTTGGTCAATCGTGATTCAGAAAGTTTTACAGCTAGGGCACTTCAATCCTTTGGTTCTTTCCTTTTTTTTAACTAAAAAATCCTCGAAATCCTTCAGAAAGGCTGAATTGACTGTGGTCAATAGTAACTCTTCTAATAGCTTAAAAAGAGACATAGAAAGACGATGAATTAAAAATCAAAATACAAAGAAAAAGCGTATATAACATAACTCGATTGCAATATGTAATTCAGAGATTTGGCATAATTGTCAATTGGAACGTTTAATCATTGGGTAGAAAATCTTATGATTAGATGATCCATCACTGACGTCCCATTGTGGGTTGGACGGGCGTCTTGTTGAATCCACGTGTCCTCGTCTGTATCAATAGGGCGACCAACTCATTCTACGGCGGTTCCCCTGAGTACGCTCATGCACTGCTCTCCCCTGACATTTATTTTCCTGAAAATTAAACCAGTTCACACACGTACATAAAAAAGAAGCACTTACGTTAATGCTTTTTTTTATTAAAAGACTGCCTGGAGTTTTCGTACTGAAATTTAATCGGCCAATTGCCGTCTGTCCTCAAAGTACTCCAGAAGTTTTTTTATTCGGTAAGCCCTCCACACTTTAAGCAGAACGCTTGTACATTTCACGGTGTCGGTTTTCGTTAGCTAAAGTTTTGTTGTCCTTTGTTAAATAGGAGTAAAAAATAACAATAAAAACATTTTTATCAATAATTTAACATTTTTTAAGGCCATATTGAAGAAGTTACTATAATAATTATGCCAATACAATTGCCACATAAATTTTATATGATGTAATGTGTGAATGTAATATTAATAATAATGAGGGAAGTTTAAAGGCCGATAAACAGTTGAGGCCATCGCTGGCCCACTGCATGTTTTTTCTTATTTTTCTGGGTTTTTTGCACGTATTTTTCCATCTGTTTTGTGACTGGTTCTCAGCGTTTATATGAAACCTAAGTAAATATCCTAAAAGCTAGCCTCTCATTTGTACTTCAGGTCGTCAACTACAGAATATAATTTTTCGTCTTGAAAGTAGCCACGGATAAAAAAAATTAACAATCTAAAGGAGCAAAAGCTGGGCTTTCTGGTGGGTATGACAGGGGTCTGGTTTCATAAAGATGTTTTACCAAAGCTACACCATTTATCGTACAATTTTCTAACTGTTTTCACTAAAGTTTAAAGTTCATTTAACATCCATTAGGAACCTCATGGTAAATTACTCCTTCGAAATAACTAAAAATCTAGAGCATTGTTTTTTTTTTCACTCTGACTACCAGTGGAAAGGTTGTTCGATAAAGTTATCTATCAATGGAAGAACGCTAGTAAACACAATTTTCACCAGTTTACAATCCTATGGGAAAATCCCGTATAGCATAAGCGATTTAATACATTTTCTACTCTTTCTAGTCTACTGATCCTTTTCACTTTCTCTTGTCGTACACATCTTCGTTTCTTTCGACAGTCCACACATCATGGAAATTGTACGATTAATATGGTTGGATTTGAATAAACAGATTGTTATCGGAAAACTAAAACTCTTGGAATGTACAACTGGTTTTTCCTTTTGAACAAAATAGCTTTGAATCGAAAATAAACATGCCATAAGAGAAAGATCTTGTTTATACAGTAGGTGTAGCAGGAGTTGTATTCCAGAAGGATATTTACCCAACGTTTCGTAGTCCAA